TTTCTTTTACATTCCAGTCCCCTATGATGAAAAGGACACCTTTTTGTTGTTGTTAGTTCTTAAGGTCTTGGAGGTCTTCACAGAACCATTCAGCTTCAGCTTCTTCAGCATTAGTGGTTGAGCATAGACTTAGATTACTGTGATATTGAATGGTTTGTCTTGGAAATGAACAGAAATCACTTTGTCGCTTTTGAGATTGCACCCAAGTACTGCACTTTGCACTCTTTTTGACTATGAGGGCCACTCCATTTCTTCTAAGGGATTCTCGCCCATAGTAGTAGATATAATGGTCCTCGGAATTAAATTTACCCATTCCAGTCCATTTTAGTTCACTGATTTCTAAAATGTTGATGTTCACTCTTGCCATCTCCTATTTGACCACTTCCAATTTACCTTGATTCATGGACCTAACATTCCAGCTTTCTATGCAATATTATTCTTTTCAGTATCAGAATTTACTTCCATCACCAGTAACATAGATGATTAGGCAGTGTTTTTGCTTTGGCTCAGCCTCTTCATTCTTTCTGGAGCTATTTCTCCACCCTTCTCCAGTAGCATATTGGGCACTTGCCAACCTGGGGAGTTCATCTTTCAGTGTCATATCTTTTTGCCTTTTTTTCTTTTTATTGTTCATGGGATTCTTAACTCAAGAATACTGAAGTGGTTTGCCATTCCCTTCTCCAGTGAACCATGTTTTGTCAGAACTGTCCACCATGACCCATTCATCATGCATGGCTCTACATGGCATGCTCATAATCTAACTGAATTAGACAAGGTTATGATCCAAGTGATCAGTTTGGTTAATTTTCTGTAATTTCGGTTTTCATTCTGTCTGCCCTCTGATGGATGAGGATAAGAGACTTGTGGAAGCTTCCTGATTGGAGGGATTGGCTGTCAGGGAATCTGGGTCTTGCTCTGACATGCTTAGTAAACCTGTAATCTAATTTTCTATTGATGGGTGGGGCTGTGTTCCCTCCCTGTAGTTGGCTTGAGGCTGAGCTGTGGTAGGGGTAATGGCAACCTCCTTCCAAATGGTTTATGCCAGGACTGTTGTATTCAGTGAGACTGAGCTATGGTAGGGGTAATTGCAACCTCCTTCCAAATGGTTTATGCTAGGACTGCTGTATTCAGTGTCCCTGACCCCACAATAGCCATGTTGACCCATGCCTCCCCTGGGGACTCTTGGACACTCACAGGCAAGTCTGCCTCAGTCTCCTGTGAGGGTCACTGCTCCTTTCTCCTGGTTCCTAGTGTGCACAAGGTTTTGTTTGTGCCCTCTAAGTCTCTCTCACCAGTCCCATGGAAGTTCTGTAATCAAATCCCACTGGCCTTCAAGGGCAAATTCCCTAAGGGTTCTCAGTCCCTTTGCTGGATCCCCATGTTGGGAAATCTGTTGTGGGCCTTAGAACTTCCATAACAGTGTGAGGACTTCTCTGGTATAATTGATCTCCAGTTTGTGAGTTGTCTATTCAGTGGCTCTATGGTGGGGCTCACACATTGTGCTTCTCCAGTCTGCTGAAGCTGCAGCCCCTGTCCTCACAGCAGGCCACTGCTGACCCATGCATCTGCAGGAGACACTCAAACACTCAAAGGCAGGTCTGGCCCAGACTTATATCCATGTTTTAAAAATGTGACCAGTGTGTTGTTTGCACTAACCTGAATGCAAGAATCTCATTTTGAGGTGTTGTCTTCCTCTGCCCCACTCTTTCCTAAGGACTGTTAAGGGTTAATGTTATCTGCAAAGTGACAACAGCCTTGGGAGGAGCAGCCTACACCTGGTGTATAAAGGCAAAGTCTGCAAGAAGAAGAGCTTCAGGGTGAAGAGTGTCAAGAGAGGTTTGTAGTTTGAGTTATCAGTCTCAAGGAGAAGAAAAGAAAAGTGAATCCTCCTCATTTGATCATGGTATTCAGAGCCAGAGGCAGGGACCTTGGGAAAGTGAAGAAGAGAAAAAGAGAGAAAAATGTCAAAATAAAATAGGGATGTATGGGGGCAAGAGGAGGGAGAACGTCTGAGAAAATGGGGTTGGGTGTATGATCACGTTGATTGCTGTTGTTGTTTAGTCTCTAAGTCGTGTCCAACTCTCTTGCAACCCCATGGACTCTAGCCCACCAGGCTCCTCTGTTCAGGTGATTTCCCAGGCAAAAATGCTGGAGCGGGTAGCCATTTCCTTCTCCAGGAGAATCTTTCCAACCCAAGGATCAAATGTACCTCTCCTTCATTAACAGGTAGATTCTTTATTACTGAGCCACCAGGGAAGCCCAGTCACATGGATACTGGCCTCAACACAAAAGTTTGCTATTCCTAGTGAAAAATGAAATCAGCTCAGTTCAGTCACTCAGTCATGCCTGACCCTTTGTGACCCCATGGACTGCAGCACGCCAGGCCTCCCTGTCCATCACCAACTCCTAGAGTTTATTCAAACTCATGTCCATTGAGTGGGTGATGCCATCCAACCATCTCATCCTCTGTCATCCCCTTCTCCTCCTGCATTCAATCTTTTCCAGCATCAGGGTCTTTTCCAATGAGTCAGTTCTTTGTATCAGGTGGCCAAAGTATTGGAGTTTCCGTTTGAGCATCAGTCCTTCCAATGAATATTCAGAATTGATTTCCTTTAGGATGGATTGGTTTGATCTTGCTGTCCAAGGGACTCTCAAGAGTCTTCTCCAACACCACACTTCCAAAGCATCAATTCTTTGGCTCTCGACTTTCTTCATAGTCTAATTCTCACATCCATACCTGACTACTGGAAAAACCATAGCTTTGACTAGATGGACCTTCAGTGGCAAAGTAATGTCTCTGCTTTTCAATATGCTGTCTTAGTTGGTCATAACTTTTCTTCCAAGGAGCAAGCGTCTTTTAGTTTTGTGGCTGCAATCACCATATGTAGTGATTTTGGAGCCCAGAAAAATAAAGTCTGTCACTGTTTCCATTGCTTCCCCATCTATTAGCCATGAAGTCATGGGACCAGATGCCATGATGTTAGTTTTCTGATTGTTGAGTTTTAAGCCAACTTTTTCACTCTCTTCTTTCACTTTCACCAAGAGTCTCTTTAGTTCTTCACTTTCTGCCATAAGGGTGGTGTCATCTGCATATCTGAGGTTATTGATATTTCTCCCAGCAATCTTGATTCCAGCTTGTGCTTCTTCTAACCCAGCATTTCTCGTGATGTACTCTGCATATAAGTTTAAAAAGCAGGGTGACAATATACAGCCTTGATGTACTTCTTTGCCGATTTGGAACCGCTCTGTTGTTCCATGTCCAGTTCTAACTATTGCTTCCTGAACTGCATACAGATTTCTCAAGAGGCAGGTCAGGTGGTCTGGTATTCCCATCTCTTTCAAAATTTTCCAGAGTTTATTGTGATCCACACAGTCAAAGGCTTTGGCATAGTCAATATGCAGAAATAGATGTTTTTTCTGGAACTCTCTTACTTTTTTGATGATCCAGAGGATGTTGGCAATTTGATCTATGGTTCCTCTGCCTTTTCTAACACCAGCTTGAACATCTGGAAGTTCACGGTTCATGCATTGCTGAAGCCTGGCTTGGAGAATTTTGAGCATTACTTTACTAACGTGTGAGATGAGTGCAATTGTGTGGTAGTCTGAGCATTCTTTGCCATTGCCTTTCTTAGGGATCGGAATAAAAACTGACCTTTTCCAGTCCTGTGGCCACTGCTGAGTTTTCCAAATTTGCTGGCATATTGAGTGCAGCACTTTCACAGCATCATCTTTGAGGATTTGAAATAGCTCAACTGGAATCCCATCACCTCCACTAGCTTTGTTTGTAGTGATGCTTCCTAAGGCCCACTTGACTTTGCATTCCAGGATGTCTGGCTCTAGGTGAGTGATCACACCATCATGATTATCTGGGTCGTGAAGATCTTTTTTGTATAGTTCTTCTGTGTATTCTTGCCACCTTTTCTTAACTTCTGCATCTGTTAGGTCCATACTATTTTTGTCCTTTGTTGTGCTCATCGTTGCATGAAATGTTCCCTTGGTATCTCTAATTTTCTTCAAAAGATCTCTAGTCTTTCCCATTGTATTGTTTTCCTCTATTTCTTTGCCTTGATCACTAAGGTAGGCTCTCTTTTCTTTGAATTGATCACTGAGGAAGGACATATGGAATAGTTTCTGCCATATCAATAAACAAAGGATATCACAGTCATCAGCAATTGCAGCCACCATGGAAGATGAGCTAGTGAGCCCTGAGGGTGTTCAGGATGGAAATAGTGCCTGCCATCTAGTAGCCATCAAACTGCAGCCATTCCCTATGGTGAGTCCTGAGGAAGCTCAGGATGTGAAAACAGACTACTGACCCCAGATAGTTGAGGGGGATATCAAAGGAATAATTTCAGTAAGCCTGGTCTCTTGCATCTTCCTTTACATAGAAAAGCACTAAATTTCTCAACTTGGGATATCTGGTTTTCTTTCAGTTACAAAACATTTTTGACGTTCAGACTACCTACACTTTGTTGCAAAACTTCTATATAACTTGTCCCCCACCTCCCTGCCTCCTCAGAGCAGTTCTGTCAGGGTCACTTGAGCTGCTGTCTCCCGGACTTGAAGTCCTAAAAATTCTCACCAAATAAAACATAACTCTCAACTTCTAGGTTGTGAATGGTTTCTAAGGAGATTACAAATAAATATGTATGCACATGTATTTGTGTGCTATGTTCTGACTAGCTAGGTGATGAGGTGCTCTTTAAGAAGAGTGAAGACCAGAGTTACTCAAAGGTGCTCCCTTAAAAAGAGTGAAGACCCAAGGTTATTCCGACCTCCCACCTGGATCTGAGCCAGACCCTGGAGCAAGATCAGGGAGGAGATCCTGGAAGAATGCTGCAGGTAGATTTTTCCCAGTGGAAACGGTGGCTGGAGAGGAAGCCCCAGACTCCTCCAGCCAGTGTTCTTCATTCTCAGACCTACCACACTGGGAGCCAGACTGCCCAACCCAGCTTGCCTGAGCTGCAGTGCTGCCCTCCGCCGCATGGAGGCAGCATGACCTACAGCGCGTTGGCAGCGGCGATCCCCACGCCCCTCTTGGCTGCGGCGGGCGGAGGCCGTGCGGCGGAGGCCGGCCCGTGGAGCCCTCCCTGATTGGCCGCGGCGCGGCAGCTGCCATGTTGGCCGAAGTGGCTGCTCTCTGCCGGGGCAACTGGCTCTGGCTGCGGCTGCCAGGTCGGTACGCATAAGGTCTTTCTTCTTCCCCTCTCCGGGGGTTGGCGCTGAGAGGTGGCGTCCGGCGGGATGGAGAAAAGTAGGATGAACCTGCCCAAGGGGCCGGACACGCTGTGCTTTGACAAAGACGAGTTCATGAAGGTGCGCCCGGGGGGGCTGCGATCCCCGAGCCGAGGCGGGTGGCCTGTCTTCCTTTCCCTCCGGGGCCTCCTCCAGGTGCTGGCCGTGCATGCCTCAGATCAGCCCCCGGCGCGACCTCGCTGCCTTTGCAGTGAGTCTTTTGGCCTCAGGTGGGGCTGGGGAAGCCTTCTGTGAGAAGGCACTTCTGTGAAACCGTGCATAGTGAGGAAAAGGCCTGAGGTTGTGGGCAAGTGGTTTTGAGCTAGGTATAAAAGCTCCGGTTATTACCGGAGCCCGTTCCCATGCAGTGCAGTCGGAGTTGCAGATTCTGGGCAGACAGAAGTTTGTCGATCGCCGCCTTAAACCTAGAAGCTCAGTATGAATGTGCTGACCAAATCTCTGGACCCACGTCTCTACCTAGGGATTAGGTGGGTGGAAAAGGCACTCAATCGAAAGTTTTTCCTTAACGTTCGCCTAAAGTTTCTGAATGGGATATTTAAAAGATTAGAATCTTATTACTGATTTTGTTGCAGTACAACAAAGCAAACCATTTTGCTTCTCTAAACTTAGTCTACTTGTTATAAGGTGAACTTTGAGGTTGGTCTGAAGGTAAATGTAGGCCGTCAGTTTACATGAAGAGTTGAAATATGATGGATATTAAAGGTTTATCTGGCACAGCCTTGAAAGTGTCCAAGATTTGAATCAGAACTGGGAGGAACTTTGCATATTCTTTTGGGGTAATGCTCTGGAACTGTACATACACCATCAAGAAATACAGTTATGCTTTATTTATAAGGTTTGGGGTTTTTGATACCACTTAGTGGCTGCTTTCAGTGTTAAAAAGTTAAATGTTTTGGCTCAGTAGACACAAACTTTTGAGCAACTGAATTTAAGTCTTTTTTTTTTTTTGATAACTTCACGTCTTAGTATGTTTTTTGCTTTTTAGCTTCATTAGTTTATCCTTTTGATGCTTGCATTCAGTGCACAGTCTCTGGTTTTAAACAGTATTTACATCTGTTCTTTTTTATAGCTGAGTAGTGTGTACCACATGGACTTGAGTTTGGGCAAACTTGGGGAGATGGTGAGGGCCAGGGAAGCCGGGTGTGCTGCAGTCCACAGGGTCACAAAGAGTCAGATGTGACTTGGGGACTGAACAACACCACATCTTCTTTATCCATTCCTGTGAACTTTTAGATTGTTTCCATGTCTTAGATATTGCAAATATTGCTGCAGTTAATACTAGGGTGCGTGTATCTTTTCAAATGATTTTCTTCAGATATATGCCCAGGAGTGGGGTTGCTGAATGATATGGTAGTTCTATATTTAGGTTGTTGTTGTTGTTGTTGTTGTTGTTTTCCATTTATTTTTATTAGTTGGAGGCTAATTACTTTACAGTATTGTAGTGGTTTTTGCCATACATTGACATGAATCAGCCATGGATTTACATGTATTCCTAATCCCGATCCCCCCTCCCACAGCCCTCCTTATATTTAGTTTTTAAAGGAACTTCCATATTGTTCATCAAAAAGAGCAAAATAATGCCATTTGCAGCTGCATGAATGGACCTGGAGATTATCATATTAAGTGAAGTAAGTCAGGCAGAGAAAGACAAATACATCATTTACATGTGGACTCTAATATGCTCAGTCTTAAGCAACTCTTTGAAACCTCATGGACTGTAGCCTGCCAGGCTCCTCTGTCCATGGGCTTCTCCAGGAAAGAATCCTGTAGTAGTTTGCTGTTTCCTTATCTAGGGGATGTTCTTAATCCAGGGGTGAAACTCACATCTCCCATGTTTCTTTGCATTGGCGGGTAGGTTGTTTACCACAGAACCACCTAGGAAGCCTGAAAAGTGATAACAGATGAACTTATTTACAAAACAGACCCACAGATCTCAAAATTAAATGTATGGTTCAGTTGCTTAGCCATGTCTGACTGTTTGCAACGCCATGGACTGCAACACGCCAGACCTCCCTGTCCCATCGCCAACTCTCAGAATTTACTCAAACTCTTGTCCATTGAGTTGGTGATGCCATCCAACCATCTCATCCTTTGTCGTCCCTTTCTCCTCCCGCCTCCAATCTTTCCCAGCATCAGGGCGTTTTCCAATGAGCTAGTTCTTTGCATCAGGTGGTCAAAGAATTGGGAGTTTCAGTTTCAGCATCAGTCCTTCCAGTGAATATTCAGGACCAGTCTCCTTTTGGATCTCCTTGCAGTCCAAGGGACTCTCTAGAGTCTTCTCCAACACCACAGTTCAAAGGCATCAATTCTTCGGTGCTCAGCTTTACTTATGGTCCAGTTCTCACATCCGTACATGACTACTGGAGAAACCATAGCCTTGACTGGCCGGACCTGTATGGTTACCGAAGGGGAGGCATGGGGAGAGGTGATAAGTTAGGAGACTGGGATTAACATAGACACACTGCCATATGTAAAATAGATCAGCAGAGGTTCGCTGTGCAGCACAGGGAGCTCTGCTCAGCACTTCAGTGACCCACGTGGGAGAGGAGCCCAGAGCAGAGCGGGGCCACGCGTGTACACAGACGAGCTGCTCTGCGGCACGCCTGGGACTGGCGCAGCAGTGTATCTCAGCTGTAGCAAAAAAGGTAAGTGATGCAGTTTAAGAAAATAGCAGTTACATCTGGATCTTTCCAGTGTGGCCATTCATTTTTATCATGCAGGCCATCTAGACCCAGGAATAATGTACTCTTGTCTTTGTACAGTGATGTCTCTGCTAAACCTCTGTGATGAAGGGCGTCATTTGAAAGGGAGTACCACGTGAGCTTGCCGATCCAGAAATGCTTTGTTCCATCCGCTGGCTGAGAACTGTCCTGGAGCAAGGGTAGGAAGAGAGACCATGATGAGGTGAGGTGTGCTGAAAGAAGCCAAGGCACAAGCAGAGATGAGGGTCTTTGTTCTGTTCAAAAATCTCAGAATACAGGGAGCTTAACTTAACCAACTTTGCCTTCTTCAAGGCTTCCTTCAGGCTCAACACCAGCATTCTTTCTGACTTGATAACCCCACCATGTTTCTTGCTCTGAACTGATAGAAAGCCTTTGGGAAGAGAGGCTTCAGAAAGTAGAAACCTCAAAATAAGTTCTAAAGTAGAACTTGATGAAGGGGAGAGCAAACTGGGGAGGTGGCTGAAATAGCAGCAGTTCCATATTCTTTCATGCCTCCTAAGCTTCTGAATGTGCTATGTAATTTGTAGTGCTAATAAATGTGACCACTTCACATGTAAAAGCAAAATACATAAGACAACCACCCTGTGTTAAATGTTGATTTTCTAAGTGAGACTTGGAGATAAAGGTTACTTGCAATTTATGTTTCCTTCAGAGAAACATTTTGAAAGTTTTGGTAACATGGCAGAAATGATAGGTAGAGAGTTTGCCTTTGGGGTTATATTTCTTAAGTCTGTCTGATTTAATGCATATTGTAATTTATGCCTGTGAGAAAGTTAGAGAATGTCCCTTTGCATTAGGAGAGTGAAGGTTACTCAGAAAATCCAGTCATTGGAAACTTTGTTTCCAGTCAAAGGAAACTTTGTCACACACATGATGAGGCCCTATTAGGACAATGATAGCAATCATTCATTTAATAAACAGGCACTCATTGATCACTTTGGAGAAGGAAATGGCAACCCACTCCAGTATTCTTGCCTGCAGAATCCCATGGACTGAGAAGCCTGATGGGCTACAGTCCATGGGGTTGCAGAGAGTTGGACATGACTGTCTATCACTTCACTTCATTGATCACCTGCTTAGTGTCCACCAGCAGTCTAGACTGGATAGTACAAGGTAGATAAGATTTAGACTTTTGAGTATGATCACAGAAAGACCACAGTGTGTGCTGAGAAACTGGACTTAGTCCAGAGAGGCTGGGAGGATGACCAGAATTGAGACTGGAAAAGTAGAGAGACAGCTGGGTGGGACTGCAAGTAGTTCTCGTGTAGTGCACTGAGGGGTTTGCGCTTGATGAGTTACAGTCAGGTGGAAAACAGGAAATGACGTAGTCATGTCTGTTGTGTTGAACCTGTGTTAGAGGACGCTGTGCCACTGGTTACTTCAAGTTAATATAGGGTTCTGTTTCAAGGGGAAATTAGGTTGGATTTGAACTGATGAGCTAATATTTTGATTTGGGCCATTCTTGCACATGTATTTCAGTCCTAACTCAATGTTGTAGTGGTATCTCAGACTTTGAGGAAGTTATTTAATAAATGCTTAAGAAACAACCAACTACCTTTCTAAACATAGAGGGAAAAGGCTACTTAAAATGCTTCAGTTGTCCTTGTAAGAGCTAATGAGAAATACAGAGCAGAGGATCCTACAACATTTACCTCCTCCCATGGACACATAACATCAGTAGCTACTCATGTAATAGTTTCCTCCTCTGAGCAACTCCTGCACATCTGGCAAACAGCCCACATCAAAGTGGATAGGAGAGGCTGAGACATGGTCAGTCTCACCATCCACCCCACTCCCAGTATGGTGACCCACAATTGGAAGGAAGCTACCATCCCCAGCTGCTCCCTGAGAAGTGAAGGGTCTGAACCCTAAATTTGGCACCCCTTCTTTAAAGACTTGCACCTGGGAGATGAGCCCCCAAACATCTACCTTTGAAAGTCAGTGGAACTGGCATCTGCAAGACCCACCAGGCTCATGATGTGAGAAACAGCTTTTGAAGGCCAGCATGAACTTGGTCACCCTCGAGGGCCCTGGCACAGAGACAGCGGCTGAAAAGGGCCCAGACTTTCTGTGAAAGAGGCTGTTTATCTTAAAGCATCAGCCTGAGGGGCCGGCCTCTCATTTAACACTCTCTGGGGGCTTGGAGGCTGCAGGAGCCATCTTTGCCCTCTCTGCCTCATTCCAGCTGGACAGTATGTCCTAGAAAGGAACTTGGGTACTTTTCAGGTGCCCTGATGTTTGCAGTTGCTGCCCAGAGACAACTCTAGGTCACCTGGCTTTGGTGGCCAGTGAGGCTTACACCTGTAGTTCCCCAGTGTTCACTGCAGTATTAT